CCAATAATAAAATATTGCTCAATTAGAGCTAATTTTGGGGTTGTGGCTAAGAATGACTTGGAGTTTGAGCATATGGATTTCAATACAACATTCTTACATGGAAAATTTTAGGAAAGCATTTACATGTAACAATCAGAGGGTTTTATAGTTTCTAGAAAGGGAAACTACGTGTGCTTGTTAAATAAGTTCTTGTATGGATTTAAGCAGCCATCGAGGTAGTGGTATAAAATGTTCGATTCATTCATGACTACTCATAATTTCATTAGAATCAGTTATGATAGTTGTATGTACTTCAGAAAGGGGGATGGTGGATCGATTACATATTTGTTGTTCTATGTTAATGACATTTTCATAGCAGCCAAGGATAGAGCATATGTCAGAAAAGTGAAAGCTCAACTTCGCGAGGAGTTTGAGATGAAAGACTTGGGTGCAACAAGGAATTTTCTTGTTATGAAGATCTTGAGGGATAGAAAAGCAGACACATTGTATTTAAGTCAGAATGGATACAATGAGAAGGTGTTTCACAGGTTCAGTATGCTGAATGCAAAGGTTGTGGTTACTCCCTTTGCTGTCCACTTTAAATTATCATTTGGCTTGTGTCCTTAGTCAGATGAAGACATTGATTATAAGTCTCGAGCTCCTTATTCCGGAGCAGTTGATTCACTTATGTATGCTACGATTTGTACAAGACCAGATTTAACATATGCAGTTAGTACAGTTACTAGGTACATTGCAAATCCTGACAAGGAAAATGGGAAAGCAGTGCAGTGAATGTTTAAATACTTGAGGGCTATACTAATACTTGCTTGCATTTCGGTAGAAATACAGATGGATTCGTTGGGTATATGAATTCATTTTATGCATGAGATCTTGATAAAAGGAAATTACTTACAGGGTATGTGTTTAACCTTGAAGGCTATACTAACAGATGGAAAAGCTAATATGCAAAATATAGTATTTTTATCTACAATAGAGGCAGAGTACATGGCCATAATAGAGGCATGTAAAGAGATTATGTGATTGAGGGGATTGATTGTTGAAATCAGTGTAAATTTGCATATTTCTATAGTGTATTGTAATTTTCAGAGTGTTATCCTTCTGACTATGGATCAGATGTTTTGTGAGAGGACTAAGCATATTAATATGAGGTATCATTTTGTGCATGATGTGATTGATCTTGGTGATATTGTAGTGAGTAAAGTTAATACTAAGGATAATCCTATTGATATGATAACAAAACCACTTCTCATTGCTAAGTTTGAGTATTGTTTGAATTTAGTTGGTGTTTGTCATTAATTTAGCCCATCGAGGCTTGTTTGGAAAAGGTGGAACGGTGTTAGCTTGGAGATGTGTTTTTGGAATTCCTTGTATTGGAATTTGTTTCAAGGTGGAGACTTGTTGTAATATCACCTAAGTTATGTTGTGTAATTGGAGTTTTAGTTAAATTGGCCTGGAAGGGATTGAAATTACGTTGGAATTGGAGTTTCGATTGGAAAAGGGAATTTGGATAAGTTATTGGATGAATTTGAGACTCTTGAAGCATAGTTAAGTGCCCTAGAGCCATGATCGGGACACCTGTACCAAAAGCATTTGATGCAATTTTGTCCCAAAAGCCAGCGCCACACTGCCTCTCGATTACCGCAAGGATGTTTGAGTGGTATGCGCCTCTCGCCTTTGGGCTAGTGCTTGAGCAACGTTTTTATTAGGCCTAGACCCCGTTTCGCATTTTGACGCATTTTTCTACTCCTATTCATCTATAACTTGATTTTGAGGGTTTATGTATATTCTTCACGACTTGTATTGAGATCATGGCATTCATAAAACTATTTGAGAGGTTTAGATTGAGACCATTGGGATCTTATTGTAAACACATTCATTATTGATTATAGTGAAATTCTCCTTCTTTGCTCATGGTTTTTTCCCATCTTGAATTTTCATATAAATCTTGGTGTTCTTGTTTTATTCTTATTTATTTCATTATTATCATTATCTTGCGATCAATTCATAACATAGTTGTTTACTATTTTGATTGGCTTTGGACTTTTTCTGCACATTCAATGATGGCAGGCAAGTTGAAAAATATTTACCCGACTTTGGTTAATATATCACCACAATTTTTTTCATTTATTACTTGTTGGAATCTACAATCTTACATTGAGTTGAAGTTAAGGGAAGCCAAGTGCAAGTCTCGGTCCAAGCAAGAAGCAAGCTGATACATCTTCAATTAGTTTTAATGTACATCTGTAAATATTTGATTGGTTTAGTTAGTTAGATGATAGCTGGATCTTTCCTCTTTATTTTGCTTTGCACGTGTATATATATACTGTTCTGTACAAATGAAGCAAGTAAGAAATAACATTTTCAGATTGATTTTCTTCTCTTAGTGATCTGTTTCTTCCTTTTCTCCTCTCTTCGATTGTGATATTTTACATTACTTGTGTATTCGTAATCTTTCTCTATTTGCACCATCCAATGCTATTGTATCTTTCTTACCAAACTCGACAATAAAAAGTTCTAGGCTTCTAGCTAAAGATTTTTGACTGGATACATGAAAATTTCTACATCAGATTTTTTCTTTATGTATTGTCAAAATAAGGCATGACAAATTTTCAAGCACTGTGATTTTGGGTCCTTAATTATCAAAATTAAAGTTCAAGATTCTCAACTTATTTAAATTTCTGCATCTAAATTTCTACATGGCAAACTATTCATGAGGACGTCAAAATTATACCCAACTTTCTTATGACATGAAGTTAGACATTAAATGGTTGGGTGATTTTGCCCTCTAGCTCTAAATCACATAAAAGTAACATGCAAAGTTAACGTTCATCAATCGTTAGGACTAGCAAAAAAGTTTGGAAATACAACCATAAAGATTGAAATTCACAAATTTTAATAGAATGAGGATCAGAACATCATTTTTAATGTTAAGGACTCAAAATTACACTAACTAAAATGTTAGGTAGCACAACCATTGATCTATATTCACATATTTAAATATGTTGAGAACTCAAAAGTGCACTTTTGAACGTTGAGGATCCAAATTGCACTAATTAAAAAGTTATTTTTCCCTTTTTAATGTAGTGACAACTTAATTTATTAATAAATATAATTTTGTACACGTCTTAAAATATATATTCAATAAAATCATGATTAAAGTGTTAAGCAACGTCAAATTGCAAAGCTTTTGTGGTCAATGCCATTAATTATGGAGTCCTAATAATGCTTAATAGTCATTCTCTAGAAGAAGACACACGTCATTACACTCCCATTGTAAAATATATCTCTTTTGCCTAATCATCTACTCGTCGGCCAAAACTATTGGGGGGCCGTTTGGTAATTATGCCTATCTTAGACACAGAAAAACATTTTTTTTTTTTTTTTATCGATATGTTTTCAATAACTTTTAAGTATTTTTATTTATGTCAAATAAGAAACTTTCTTATTTTTCAACTTATGAAGAGGTTATTTATTTTAAAAATTATTTATTTATAAGTGAATTTACCTTTTTATCTATAAACGTGTTGAATAACTTAGTTTTTTTATTACATTTAGATTTTAAAAAAATTAGTTCTTTTAAAAGTAAAATGGTTACATTGCTGTCAAATAAGTAACATGTTTTTAACTTTGATTAGTAAAAATGTTCATTTAATTGTAAATAAATTTACATATTCAATTCAACTAATTATTTCTTTGTGCCTATGTTTGGCCTTCATTTTTTCTAAAACTTATTTTTTTCCAAAAATCGCTTTCAACTGCACATTTTCCCATAAAATAATTTTACACGTAAACTCAAAATTTTTCCTTATTTTTTAATCACGCATTCTCCAACAAAACATTATTTCAAAATGCATTTTGACCAAAAAAAAAAAAATGAGGTTCAAAGAACGGCCTAAATTTACTAAAGAAGGATAAGTTCCCCCAAATTAATTTAATCTAAATTTCATTTTCAGAAGGCACCAAATATAATTAAATTAATTCTTATCCAGTCTAATATCGCTCGTCAAATGTACCATTATACTCTAGTAGTGTTTTCAGAAGTAAAGAGTGAATAATTAGTTAGGTTTCTATTGGTAATTAATTACTAATTAGACCATGTGTGATGGAGATTACTATTATTAATAGCATATCAATTAATTAAAAACATAATATCTGGCATAATAAGATGGTGTGTTTGATTGACTTTATTTTACATTTAAAAAAATATCATTTTTTCCATCCAAATTTCTATTTTTTAGGTGTTTGATTGACATTTTTCGTGAAAAATATTATTCAAGAGTTGATACATGACCATATTTTCCTAAAAAAATAAGAACATTTTCTTTAGCGAGTGGTAGGTTTTTATTTTTCAGACAATTCACTCTCACTCTCTCTCATTTACCCATCAATAAAAAATAGACAAGTATAATATTTTTTAAGTTGAAAATTAATCCAATTAAACACAATTAATAAGCAATTTTCATATAAATAATTTCTAAACAATTCAATTATCTAAAACTTATTTTCTTTTCATGCTTGAAATCAAACACACCCTAAATTCTTTATTCGCTAACCCATAGCGCCAAACGCATCCTTAACTTGCAAGGCAAAGAAATTGACTAGGGTTGTTTGACAAAGTCTTTTGAATGGTTAAGAATAAAGTTGGGATAACTTCAAATTTTTACCAACGAGCATAATTTAACTTGATGGAATGCCTTTTATTCGTGCAGAACTAATAATTACATATAGAAGATCAAATTAATAGCAACACAATTAAGGAACGAATTAATTTTACACGAAGATTCTCTTTTTCCTTCATTCAATTTTTGAATACATAATTATGGAAGCTACATCAATGTATACCCTAGTTATGCATCCATACAGGCAGAATCCTCTGTCAATGCATATGCAGGACTTATGATCCTAATTTCGGAACTAGATGAGAAAAAGTATTATCAGCTAAACTTTTTTGATCATATAGTAATTTACCCCAGTAAGCATGTATAATTTTGTCAGTAATGTTAAGAAGAATCTCCACAAACTGATAGAAAATCGATAAACGGTACAGCAGCGTCAGCCTTGGTTTGATTTTGAATTGCTGCAGGCTCCTGCTCCACCTCATCCTCGTCGAATATTTTCCTTGCATGGTCTATCACTTCACTCCGATTCGAGTTATCAGTATTCACCTGGAGAAAGTCATAGAACTCTACTGCTTGTTTACTTCTATCTGCAATCACATGATATATATATATATATATTGATGAGTTTATATAGGGTGACGCAATCAATTCATTTAAAAAATCGTACCTAACCCCCAGAGAGTTGCCATCGAGTCCTTTATTGCCCAAGAATAATAATAATATGATCAAATAATTTAAACATTTTGAAAGTTGAAGAAAAGGCTAATTAATTTTATACTTGATATCACCATCTTACCTTCATCTATCTTCATGTGAAGAACCATATTGTCCGAATGAAGCTCCTTCCGGCATATGGGTTGATTGTACGTTAGATGGTGCTCGAATCTCGGATAACATTTCTCTACAAAAGGATTAAACCTTAAATTTTTGTCACTGAAAACTGGGGTATCCTGATTTGATGAGGACTTTTGATCATTTTTTAAAGCTTGTGGTGCCTTTTTTGGATAAATTTTCGACCTTTCTCTGCATTTTCGAGCCATGATAACATGCCAGTGATTCTTCACAGCATTATCAGTACGTCCGGGGAAGAGTCGAGCAATTATGGCCCATCGATTTCCATGAATTCGGTGACAAGCAAGAAGCCTCTCTTCTTCCTCTTCCGTGAAAGGGCTTCGGTTAATTCTTGGATCCAACTGATTGAACCACCTCAACCTACAACTCTTCCCTAATAACACATTAATTCAATATGATTAGCTAGTTGCATGCAGTTGAAGGGAATACATCATTTAATTTCTTTACATGCAGTCTACAAATTCATAGCCAATGTACTAGTAATTAATCCCGGTTAAGTATGTAGTATGTACTACAATTTATCTTCGTTGTTACAAAACATATCACATAAAAGTGGTTAATTAAAAAAAAAATCTCAGCAACACAAGATTGAAGGAGAAAATATGCTAACAGGAAACAAAAAATTCTTATTTAAGTTTTATCCAAATCAAGACCTAATAATACACAATTAATCCCGGTCTATTTATTATTACTAAATTTTTTTTAAAAAAAGAAACAAATTTATAAGGAGACATACGCGTAATATATTTCGATGAACCATATATGTATTTTTAGGGTTCGTCATCCGTTATTTTGCACTTCGAAGAAAGAAAAATAGGCTAGATTTCATTTATTTGAAGGGATGGAGCTGAAAATTTATATCATGATGAAACCCTAAGAAAATAATTTTTTTTTTCTTCAGTTCCATTTCTTCCTTTAAAATTCTTAGTAGTATTCTAATTATCCATTACTAGGATGGATGCAACATTTTTTCACCTGTTCTTCCCTGTAGCTTTTCAGCTATGGCGTTCCAGTTATGTGGTCCATATCGTTCGACCAATTCTCGAAGCTTCTCATCCTCAGCTGGTCTCCAGTGCCCTCTGCTGCACATCTGCTCCGACCAACCAAAAATCGATTAGTATCCAAATAAATACTAAACCAAATCTCTAACTATATTCAAATCCTAATTCTTCTTCTTTTTTCACCTTGCACAAAACAGTTAATATTAAGTAGTACTTGCAGATAGAGGACGACGAATAGAAAATTTTCCGTCGAAAAGAATTTTTTTGCAGGTGGAGGTGGAGAAGACAAGGAGAGAAAAAAAAGGTACATGCTAAGGGGAAGATAAGAAAGTGTTTTCCGTTAGAAATTGGGAGGATTTGGTCAGACCAGCACCTCTTATTGATGCAACGTCTACCCTAAAATTATAAGCACTTTTAAGTAATTAAAATACTTCTCTACATTGTATATAATTATTCTCTCTCTGGTTTATGAGAGAGAAAAGGTTGCTTGGTGGTCTTAAATTTCGTTCTCCTTTCAACATCTTTCTGAAATTCCAACCTACAATACCCACCTAGC